TAGTCAAACATAGCTTGCCATATTTTGAGAAAATTAATGCTTAAAAAACATTTATTGGAAAACTATAAGTCTGATAAACCTTAAAGATATAGCAACAAAATCTAACGCATCTAAATACAGCTTTTGGCCAAATTTGGGGCTTGTATAATGTTTTTATATGCCCGGATTATAAAAATTTTATATTTAACATTTTTTATTAAAAAAACAATAAGTCTTATAGGCATGAGGAGATATAGCAACAATCTTGAATGTAGAAAGCACATTTTGACCACATCTGGGCCTTTTGGCATGAACGGCCTAGGAGGAGATCGGTTTGTTTTCACGGACAGAATAGCATAACAGTATGTTGGCTTTCTCAAGCCAACATAATGAGATGCTGTCATGAACACAAGAGATCTAGCCATTGCAGATTGCTAAAAAAAACAGTCACTATCACCCGAACTACAATTCTGATACTGAACTGCACTGCGTTTTACATCAGGCACCTCAACACACACACACACACACACACACACACACAATACAAACACACACACACACACACACACACACACACACACACACATACAAACAAACACACACACACACACACACACACACTCAAAGGACAGAACTTTTTATCAGACTGGGGACTTCCTCTACTGGAAGTTTAGTGCTTTGACATGCAAAGTATATGGTCTGACTAGATTACTTTTAAATAGCGTCTGCTTTACATCTGAGGGCGCAGATACATTCACAGAGTTTAATCTCACACAGTATTTAGTGATTCACAAGTGTTTTCTGTTTAGGTTGTGAATTGCATTATGGGATGTTGATCTCTGACCTGATGTAGAATGTTCCGGAATATTATGACATTTTAAAAGGTCTACATCAGATATTAAAAGTCAGGGAATTCTATATTTGTTTTGGCCAAGTCATGGAGTATCACGGTGCTTTTTCAGTTTGACATTTAGAAATTTGACTGACTTCCCATTTATTAAAATGTGTGCTTATTTTATCTTAAAACTTTAAACTTCATGTGTGTAACTGGTGGACAGGACTGAATGCACGGCTCTTTGTTAATGCAGTTCGGTGGATGAGATGAGAGGGTGGAGTAGGATTTCTGTCTGTCTGTGTGTGTGTGCGCGTGTTTACAAAGGCTGGCACACAGGTATCCTCAGGACAGCTGTCCTAACAGGCTCCGACACAGGCCTATCATTAGCAATGGGCGCAACCAGATTCCAGCAGGCTTAAAGGGATAGTTCACCCGATTTCCTCACCATTTACTCACACTCAAGTGCTTCCAAACTCACAAAATTCCCAGCTAGCAAAATTCATGTGGCTCAAATCCGGCCCACACCAGACCCTTACATCCGGCCCACATACCACATGAAATGATGGCACTTGGGCGGTCCGCTCCTGTTTGCCAGATCTGGGCCACAATTAAGCCATAGCAATATCACAGATCAGCCAGAATTCAACCAAATGAACCAGAACTGACCCTATTCTGGGCCACAGTTTGCTTTTATTCTGGCCCAGATCTGGCCTACACCTTACACTTGCAGGATGTGGCAAAGTGCAAAAATCCTAGCATGCATTGCAGTATGAATGGTGACTTTAGTCAATGTGGTCCACATATGTTTTAAGATAACTGGGCCACATTTGCCATATCTTCTCTGGGCCACTTTAGGCTCACAGCCACATTAGCCAGAGCTAACTGAGCCAAATATTTGCCAAAAGTGGCCCACATTTGTTTTAGGAGAACTGGGCCACATTTTTCATATCTTCTCTGGGCCACTATAGGCTCACAGCTGCATTAGCCAGAGTTTACTGTGCCGAATATTTGCCAAAAGTGTCCCACATATGTTTTAAAATAACTGGGCCACATTTGCCATATTTTCTCTGGGCCGCTTTAGGCTCACAGCCGCAATAGCCAGAGCTAACTGTGCCGAATATTCGTCAAAAGTGGCACGCATGTGTCTTAAGATAACTGGGCCACATTTGCACTTACACGTGTGAGCCACTTTAGGTTTAGACCTAGCCCCCATAGCAAAATTTCTCTGGCCCAGATCTGGCCCACACCATCAACATTTGCTTGGCCCACATGCCGCAGTGAATTGCGGTACATGACTGGACCAAGTCTGGCATACATACAAGAGGCAAACATGGACCATATCTGGGCCCAGTCTCAGCCAAGTATATAACCC